CGTTGAAGTCTGTATCTACCAGTAGGTGTTCTTTTGGCCACTTTCCTGTGTTCTTTGTCAGTGAAGATGTAGCCTGATGCGTTACCTTAGCTGGCCCACACAGATGTTACTGCTTGAGGCTATTTTCTCTCTTCCATACAAAGGCAAAATACATTCAGAAACAGGTCAATTTGGTCAGCTTCTACAGGGGGAAAAAAAAAAAGTTATCTTGAAAACTGCGTCTTCTAATCAGCACTGCAGTGTGACACATTGTCTCCTCATCAGCAGCTTGGCTCAGGATACACGATGACAGGTAATTCTTGATTCAGAAAGAAGAAGTCAGGGCACTCATACTTTCAGGGAAGCACATGGATGTTCAGCTGCACCACAGGGTACTCCTGAAACATTTCAGAAAATCTCATTTTGCTAAGATTTTGGAAGCCTGATTTAGTATCTCCTCTGTTTTGACATAAGGGCAGTGATGAAGACATTTGACAAAATTGCAAGCTTTTCACTACTTATTGTTATCCATTTCTAGTTAAAAAGGTCCAATGGTGTACTTGCATTGAAAAGTGGCTAGGGTTCAACCTAAAGTGTTGTTTATCTGCTAATGCATAGTGAAAAATGAGTCTGAAGGAAATATCTGGCTTCTGTTAATCAATGTAGACTGATGAGACTTTTGATAGATATTGTCACCATTTGAACAAGACATTGCTCTTAATTGCTTATAGTGTATGCAGAAAAGCATACCAAAAGCATATCCTTTCACTTTGCATAGCAGGGATATTTTGCTTAATACTACGCATGCTGCAGAGAATGCCCAGGGAAGTGGCAGAGTCAGCGCCCCTGAAGGTGTTTAAGAAAAGTGTGGATGTGGCACTGAGGGAGATGATTAGTGGGTGGAGATGGGTTGGCAGTTGGACTAGATGATCCTAGAGTTCCTTTCCAACCGTAAGGATTCTATGATTCTGTGCTTTAAGGGAATGTTTATTGTCAATTTGTTGTGAGAAGTGGAAAGGAAGACTCTGGAACTGTAAGTGCTACTTACATCAGGAGTACCTACTGGATTTTAGAGACAACTTTTTTTTCCCATAGATTTTTAGTAATCTCTGGAAATAATTATTTTGTACTAAAACTCTTCTCTTTGGCTGACAAAGCAAGAGGTTAGCTACCTAGAGGTGAACAGGTAACTGTGGAGTTCCATGATAAAAAGAGTTGCAAGAAGCACTTCGCTGGGTGAGGCCAGCCTAAAGGGTCACAGGAAATTTTAAGTGATTGTAAGGTCAAAGTGCTCTAAAGCCATCAAAGAGAACTAACTGTATGACAGAAACTTAGCAACTGGTAAGTCTCATTCAGTACAAGTGGAACTGCTTACATTTTGTACAATGTTCTACGCAATGCCTATGTTTTATCTTAACACCTCCTGCCACCTGTTACCTTATCAAATCAACCCTCACCTGAAAAACAGCAACTAATCATGCTTTTACTTTAACCTCCAACACAGGCTTACCTTATCTAACTTGCCTGTTTTAAAAAAACACCATATTATGGAAGTTTTAAATAGTGGCCTTCACACTCCTTATAGAATTGAGTAACACTTACTGCATGCAAAATTCTGTGCTTCAGTTCTTACTGAAAAGCATAGAAATGCTGACGTTGACACCACAAGGAATGGGATTAAGGCTTTAGTGATACTCGCTGACTTCTAGCAAGCTTGCACTCAGGATACTTAGACAGAACAAGGCTCTCTCCACCCCCAGTGATATGCCCTATCAAACTGCAACAAATAGAAGACGCAAATGTGTTTCCATCCATCCATTCCCTTAAGGCTGGTTCCCAAGTCAGGTGGAAAACATATCAAACCCCTGTTGTCTTTGGGTCAGGATGCTAGGCATTTTTCAAGGGGAGGAGAGGGAAAAAATGTGAGACTTTTCAAAGTCATGCCAGCGCCTGGGAGGATTACGATAATTCGATTTGCTCTCCTAGTGTCTGATAATTTATTTAGTTTTCCTGTGAGAGGCTGTAACATTTTTGTTTGCTATTTTGAAATTGGAGCTCCTCCACAGAGGCCAAGGAGTGGGACTAGAAAGGATCAGAACTAGTTATAATCAACAAATGTTGAAGTCTGCCTGATGGGTATTGAGATGGAATTGTATTTAAGAAAGTCAAAGAAAGGGAGAACAAGGTAGAGATATCAGACAGAAAAGGAGGGGAGATAACACTGCATGCATTTACATAAAGGTGCCTTGTGTATTCCCCATCTCGTTGAGAAAGTGTCTGCCCAGGAAGGCAGAGAGCCAAGAGTGCCTGTCCAACCAGGTATGGCCCTGAGCTTACATTTCCCACTTAAGTTCTTCTCTTAGTTCTGTTGGAATTGAACTTCCACAGATTTATTGCCTAAAGTGAAAGATGCTGCAAGCAATAAGCAACATTAAAGAAGTTAAAGAACTATTTTCATGGTTCCTTGTTCGTTTGTAAGGCAGCTGAACAACGAGAGAAATAGATCCCAAGCTGAAAATCTGTTTGAACTGTAATGTTTTACTCAGACCAAGACCAGACCTCCCCTGTTACTTTAAGTTTTACTGAATTACAAGGCAAACTGAGCCAGAAGAAGTTCAGTTATATATAAACTGAAAAATAAAACTGAATCAAAAAGTGCAATAGTTAGCCTCCCCTCCAGTAACCGAAGGAAGCATCTGCTGTCATAGAATATCTCAGATACCACAGGAAAACAGTACAATGTTTTGTATTAGGTGAAAAGTACATTAAAAATTTAAAGGACAAAAAAATTAGAAACAAATTGGAAACCTCTTTTTGAACAAGTACCACTGAGCTTAGATAGGATCCACATTTCTTCTGGTCTCCAGATGAAATCCATGGATTTCAGCAATATGATCTTGGGACAGCAGGTCAGCTATGAGGACTTTATGGTCTGTGAGTATCATAAAGCTGGGAATTATTTGAAATCTAGATCTGAGATTTATAGTTTGAGGTCAGTTTTCTAAATAGTGAATATCTAAGCTATTTTATAATTGAAACTAGAAGCCAAACACAGCACAATATAAAACTGGATGTCAGAAGTCTGTTATGGGTGATCAGAGATCAAAAAACAGGAGTGAAGTAAAGGGGAGTTGGGGGAGGGGGGAAAAGATGAACTCAGAGTTACAGTTGTCATAACTCCTTAAATTCATCTAGGTTTTGACTGGCATTGCAGCACTTTCTGAGAGTTCAGCAAGAACTCTAGATCCCTGTTAGCCTTAGTAAGCAGATGCCAAGATTACAGCATGGATCAGGAGAAATGGAGAAAGAAGGAAAAAGAAGATGACAGTTTTAGGGCTTGGGTCCAAGCAACCCTTATAAGCATGGGTAAGTCTGCCCTGCCTGAGGGCAGGTCACCATGCTGAGAGACTTGTGAGCTTTGGCACAGAGCAAAATGCAGATTTAGCAGCCAAGTAAGAGCAGCCACGGAGCTCTTACAGCTGCCAGTGCCTCATCTACACTGAAGGAACAGAGCAAGTGACCAGGACACAAGAAGCCACAAAAACAATAACTCGGTGCATCACATTCTTCACTGCCATAGATATTCTGAGGAATAATTAGAGAATCTAAAACTGCTTATCTAAAGATGCCTGATCGTATGCCTAAGAGAGGAACCAAAGATCATTCTCCCACCAGATAACACTGGTTGGTTTTATCTGCATGCTGTTTTTTAAACATAATTCCTATTTTGAGGCTGTGGGTGTGTTACAGTACATTCAAAGCTCTGCACAGTGAGGTATTGTGAAAACCAGAATTACTACAGCATTAGCATTGAAGAGTTGGTCTTACTGCTGCTGTGCCAAATGTCATATTACAATCTCAAGGCTAACACAGGTACCATGGTGCTACATTTTAAATGCCAGCCCCTTGGTACCTGGAGAAGATCTGTGCGCAGATAGAACTGCTGCTGACTGCCGCTAACAGCAATGGGACGCTGCAAAATCCCACTGTGCCCCTAAAGCTTAAAAAAGAGCAGAAGCCATTCCACAGAAGTATATTTCAAAACCTTGTCAGACTCCTCCTTTCATTCCCCAGTCTGTTTACTAGGTAACGCTGCTTTCCTTCCTTCCACTCAGTTATCAAATACAAACACCTTCTTCCATGCTTCTACGTAAAAGGTAAATCATTTCTATTCCCATCATGCCAGCACTGTCATATCTCTGAACTGCACCACCACTCATACTTACTTCCTCCAGTTACTCTTACATTCAAGGAGAAAGAGTAGATGGGGACTTTGGGTTCCTGCATGCAGCATCTACCTTTATCTAAACATCACAGTCACAGGATTTGCTTTGTTGGGACTGCAGTGAGACTTTTTCATGAGATGTTCATAAAGACAGGGTCTGATAGGAGATGCAAAAATTAGCAATTGGAATTCTAATGAAATCTAATAAAGAGTCATCAGGTTTCCTCTGGCTGGAAGAAACAACTGAGCATCTTACTCATATGAACAAGCATTATAAAAACGTAAGTACTTTAACAAATACTAGTGCAAAAAGGTCACAGAATAATAGATCTATTTAGTCTTCAAGTTAGACTGAATGCAAAAAATGTTCCCAAAATTGCATTAAGCCAATCTATCCTTCTTTCTTATCCAAATGTACACCTGAGAATATGCTTTTCAATCAGGAAGGAAAAGCTTTAATAAGTATTTGGTGCATCCACAGCTGCTACAGAAAAGTTCGTAATGGTTTCCAGAGAATCCTCATGAGTAATGCCTTCCTCTTTTACTAGTGAGGCAGGCAGCTCATAGGATCACAGGACGGTTTGGGTTGAAGGCACCTTTAAGACCATCTAGTTCCAATCCCCTGCTATAGGCATGGACACCCACTAGACCAGGTTGCTCACAGCCCCATCCTGCTGGCCTTGAATGCATCCAGGAAAGGGCACTCATCCACAGCCTTTAAGATGTAAAGGAAGTCTCCAGTAAAATCTTCCTTTTTCCTCTAGTTACTATATTCTTCATTTCTATGTATCTGCAGGTGTCTGTGATCCTGCGTGCATGAATGGAGGGAAATGTGTACGCCCAAATGTTTGTGACTGCCCATCTGGTTGGAGAGGAAAGCACTGTAATAAACGTAAGCATTTCTACTGTCCATCAAACAGAATACTACTCATTACTTAGGCCAGTCAGCATCAATTGTAACCTTGTCTTAATATTAAAAAACACTATAGTGAATATAATTTGTTTTGCTCCTTCCACAGTTTGAAGACAGTTTCAATCAAAGGCAATAGACAATGCTATAAGCAAGAAAGCTTTGTAGGGGAACCCTGGCTCTGTTTTATGTATTTCTCATACATTCTGTTACGGAAATTCATTTTTTATAGTATTAAACTTGAAGCATTGATTTTCTGTTTTAATACCTTCACATATTTTGCTGTATTTTACAGAGAAATGCCATATATTTCAAGATACAGAACTACTTAAAGCCTGCTGTAAAGCCTTGCCAACTGATGTACTCTCAAGGTCACCAGCTACATTTTGGTGCATAATTTCAGGAAAGATGTGCTTTCGCTCTGTAACTCTACCATACCTGACTTACCATTATAAAAACAGAATTAAAAAAACTCTCACTTTAAAATACTTTCAAGGAGTATTTTTCCTTATGTGGCTATTTGTTACTATGATGTTGACAGATAAACTGAATAAATTTATAATCCAGATGACATGCTGTAAATACACCAGGTTAAAATACAGGATATTTGATCTTTGGATCCTAGTAGTAAGTATGATTTCAGAACCAGTGTTTTGAAATTATAATTTCTTCAGAAATTATGCTGGAAATATGTGTTTCTCATGTGTGCACATGAAAACATGCATTTACTTTTTGGATTCCTGAAGAAATACTATAGACAATAAATATACCAAACCCTTCTATGGGATATAACTTATTTGCAATGTGGAATTTGCTATATGCATCTAACACACATGAATATACCAGATGAACACATCATATGGAGAGTATTCTCAACTGATAGTGAGCTGAACATGAGAAATAGCCAAGCTACCAGAAGGCAGTCATCAAAGATACATTTCTTAAGAAGCAAATATCAAAGACTCCTAAATACAAACTATCTGACGAAGAGAGCACATCTATTCCTTTGGAAATTAGCCAGATGAAATAAAACCTTGCAGGTCATTATTTCAGACAGCTTTGGAACATCTGGATATGTTGTTTACATCTTCTCACTTGTCTCGTGTCACTGTCCAGCTGTTTGCCTGCAGAAATGCCTGAATGGTGGAGAATGTATAGGTCCAAACATCTGCGAGTGCCCGGAAGGATGGGTGGGAATGCTGTGCCAAACCCGTAAGTGCTGCTCTCATTATCACAGGCTTGTAGCCATACCTGTTGCATCAGAGATATTCACACATCCATTTTCCTACTATGTTTACCTTACACAGAAAGGGCAACAATCAGATGATAGCACGTAAATTATGCCTCTTGTCAGAAGTGTTGTATGCTGTCAGTAAAACTATTGCTATGAGCACAGGCTCAGCCTTTACTTCCATCAGAAAAAAAGTAGCAGATTTTAAACTCAACTATTTGAAAGGCTATATATATTAAAAAAAAAAAAAAAAGAGGGTCAGGGACAATAGGAAATGCAATATCCAATTCAGCATATCCAGATGGCCTTAAACATAGACAGAAGTTGTGTGTGCCTGCTAACCTAGGAGTCCAACCCTGTATATATTACACATTTGGTCTGACCACTGAGATGGCTTTTTATGCACGGGGAGTGGAAAACTTGGAGCAGAAAGAGACTCATTATTGCCCATTGCATGCAGGGTCACTGCAGTGTGTGCATATTATTAGTTTTACAGTAAAAGGTCATGAGGAAAATATCAAAGTATTATATCCCTTCAAAAGGGTAATCTTTCTTTCCTCTCACACTCACAGAGCGTAATTACTTATGGAAATCTTTTGTCAGTTAAATCCCAATGGCTGTGTAATTGTTTCTTTGTGCCAGCTGTCTGCTAGTTCAAACATTGTAATGTTTAAAGTTATTTATTAGTTGATGATATGTTCCTGAGTCAGTTTATTAAATAAATAAACAAATCATGCTTGCTCCCGTGCAAGGCAAGTAAGGCTTACTGTCATTACCTATTTCTGCTGCACAATGCAGGCACACAAGCCTGGGTCATTTTTCATCTATTTAATCAGCTCCTTTGAATATTTCCTCCGGATAGTCACCCTGTTTTTACTGGTCTTTTTTTCCCCCACTTGTTTCTGTTGCAGTGTGCAATTAAATCAGCTCTGTGCCCAAAAGGAGATGCTGGTAACTCTGAGGTCTCACAGCAAACCCAGCTAACTACCAAATGGTTGGAATTTCACTATTTTTTAAATAGAGGAATAGAAGACTGTAGTCAGAGAGCAGATGGTTATGTCTTATAATGTTGCTCCAGGGTATTCACAACAAGGCAGGGAGGAAGCGGAGGAACAAGAAAGTCTTCATCCTCACAGGCGTTATGTAAAAAGTTTTGCACAGAAGTGTAACCCTTGAAAGCAAGTCCCTTGAAAGCAAGTTAAAAGTCCCATTTAACATGGGAGTCCAACCATCCAAATCCAGAGCACTGTGAAAAAAGTGGCTGAATGCATCCCAAAACTCTGCCTACACCACCAGTGGGCAAAATCCATGCCCTCTCCCAAAACCACTGCATTTCTGCAAAGGGGCATTTCACCCCTTGTACTACTTCCCTGTGCAAACTGCATTGTTCATGAATTTCAGCCTGCAAGGTTCCCCTGCTTCTGACACTCCCTTAACAGATGGAGTTTAAAAGAACAAAAAGTCAGTTTCCTTACATAAGTGAAATTCCAGCTAAGTTTTTCCAGCAATCACTGTACCTTCCCCTACGATCCAGAAGGAATTTGGGCTGGTTTGTGATCTTGGGACTTGTTCAGGCACAGCAGGGACTCAGATAATCCCAGTTTCATTCTTTGCTTTCAGCCTATTAATTCATGCAGCTGCCCTTATCAAGATGACAGAGATGGCCCAGGCTTACATGAACTGCTCAGGCTGTTTGGAGGCAGCAGTAGATATAGCTGCCACAATAAAATCTTCCTGAGATCTCCTCCTCCCAGTCTTCTGTAAAACCCAAAAAAGCAACAGATGACATTTCTTGAGTTTAGGCCGCAAATCATTAACTACTTGCAAGTGCAAATAGTGATGCCTTCTATTTTCCTGCCAACTTTCACCCAGAAAGAAGTACATAGATCTGTATTATAAGTGACAGTCGAAAATCCTTCAGCCTTTCAGCAAACGATACATTGACAGTAACCTAGAGCAGATTTTCTGTTCTGTTGCAATGAAGATTGGCACTGTCCAAGTCAGAATAATTTTATCTCTACAGTATTTTGAAAATGCTTCAGAGAGCAAGACTGAACTCTGTTTTCAGATGTAGCACCATACGTTATGAAGCTTGTATCTAATTTGGAACAGGTCTGCTGCATTTTGGAGGTGCAATCATGCAGGCAAATACTTTGCCTCTTCTGCAATGATGTGCAATGAAATCTCATTTCGTTTAATGTGGTGAATTATGAATTTCTCAGTGCTATGATCAGTCAAACTCAGTGACATTCCAGAGATGTCCATGCAGGCTATTTTTCTTACAGTTTTACCAGTCTCTGGCTACCACTGTACTGCAGAATTTGGCAAGAGTAAGAGTAGGTAAAAGAGACTTTCAGGAGACATTGTTTCAGCAGTAATGGACAAAATCCAATAGTCCTCTTTTATCAGATTGCAAATAAAGAGGTCAGTTGAGAGAATGGTTTTCTTCCCTGCTCATCTGTAACTGCACAGAATAGCTTCTGAAAGAGAATCAATGAAATAGGTCATTTGTCCCAACAAATACGGTGTGCTGTGGAATACACACATTATCCTTGATAAGTTCTTATGCCTTTGATGGTCATAGTTTAAGGAGTAACGGTCAAGTTTCAGACAGTCTTGCAAATGCAGGGAAATTACATTTCAGTAAAATGGGCTAAAAGATGTCATTTGAAATACACAATGTCTTACCCACAGAAAGGAGCAGCTTCATAGACTCATAGCAGCAGCACAGATGTACTAAAAATTCCCTCTTGGAAAACACAGTATCACAGGATCACCATGTTTCCCCATCAGTGATCTCCTTTCCATCTCAGACCGGACACCCATTCTAAAGCCCCACGCATGTGGGTCCTCCCTGTTGAGGTGTTAACTCGTATCTCTCTTTTTCTTAAGCTAGAAAAGAACTATTAGACCAAAGCAGTGAAGACCTGATGGTACAATCTGACTGCCCTGACAGATTTAGACAAAACACAAGCCAGTAAAGTCAGCAGGCTTTTGGCCAAGGATATAAGTCTGTTAAGGATCAGAGTGCAGGATCAAGGTATAATTCTAATAATTAATTATAAAATATAAGAAGGTTACAGTTGTGAAGGATCTTCATCATTAAAATTCATGCTGCTGTCTTCTGTTCTAATATTATTGAACCCATACCGGCTTCTCATTTGCCCTTCAGAATATCTTCTCTTTATTTGCATGTTATAAGTGTCAAGCTTAAAGCCTTATAATTTCCTCAACATTCAAGCTCGTTCTCTCTCCCTCTGTCTTGAACAACACCTCAGACAAGCTTGCTTCTAGTTTTCCCATGTAACCCTTTCAATTCTTAAAAAAAGAAAACTCGTAAGAAAGATTGCCATTTGCATGCAAATTATAGCTCTGTTCTTTTAACATTCAGGGATAAATCTCCTTCTGTAATGGGCATTTATTGATTATAATTTTATCATAAGCTTAGCTTACTAAATGACTTTCTTTGCTGAATCTGTACAGGATAATGCATACACAGACTGTGTCATTTTTAGTGTTTAGAGGCTTAGCATCCCTTGTAAATACATTTATGAAATATTCATTTAAACTTCAGCTATGTTATTATCCTCTGATTTCAATTCCAATTTTCTCCCAAAATGTTTTTAAATTCTCTCCTTACTGAGCACTACTGCAGGAAGCAGTGGGTGGAGATGGAGAGACAAGCAGATAGGAAAGGATAAAAAAAAGAGGAAATCTTTTCCTTTTTTTGTTTTGTTTGAATCATCTGAAAATCAAAGAAACCACAGATGGAAAAAAGCCTGGTACCTTATCTAATACCTGCCCTTCTCTCATTGCATATGAGAATATCCCTACCAGCTTTAGGGATCTCCAGATCGGACTATTTTCCTTACCTGCTTTTATTATATGACTACCAATAAAATAATTGATATTCATTTTACCTGTGCTCAAGTTCACGTCAGGTTATACATGGTAATACCATACATAGTTGTCTCTTTTCTAGAACAAAATCCACTGTAGAGTGGAACACAACTCGAAGAGGCTCCTTTGCTGAGAATACACTCCCTGGCAGAAAGTGGGAAATGCTTTATTCCCATGGATAAAACACTGAGATTTTTCCAGTTCACTATCTGGCTGTACTCACAAGACCAGCAGCTTAGCAGGCTGTACAGCCTCTTATTTTTAGGATGTGTGGATTACCAGTCAGTTTTGTTTCTTCATTCCTCTTTCCCTTAGCTCTTAGTCTGATGTTCAGAATATAAATTTAAATGTTAGTATTCCCTAATATAGCAGAATCCCAACCTTCATACAGAGTGCTGGCTGTCAAGGTAACCTCATAGAGTTGACAACCTATTTTCAGTAGACAAAGACAGCAAAATTACAAGATGTTGTTTTTAAACAACCACAAGGAAGGGAATCTTTGTAGTTTGTGGCCAGCCTTCCAAGGTCACTGTAGCATTGTTATAACTGTCCTCAGAGAATTACATCTAGGTGGTTTAGGAAGCCACCGTGTGTTTTCCAAAGAAATTTCAAAAGCCTGTTCTATCTCTGAGACTTCAGATTGCAACACAAAGAGTTTGCATGAGCTTAAACCTGTGCCAAAAATCGGATCCTAAGACCAAAAAACTGAAACCCTCAATTTGTTGATTTCTTTGTGAATAGTCCCTTGTAGGGATAAATTAAACTTTTTCAGATCTGATGGTATTGGAGCATAGACAACTGTTGTCATATGCTTTATTGACAGATAATGATTGTCATTGAAATAATGAAATAATTAATATTTAATCTTACTAGTGTATAGTGCAGCTTTCTATATGGGTCTCCCAGGCAAGAAAAAAAAGAATTCGCTTGTTGATATTTATTGGGCAATACTTATAGAGATACTTACACAAGATTTAAGTCATAAGATCTAATTAAGATACTATGGTGTGTTCTTGAATTGCCGCCCTACGAACTGGTTGCTCTTCTTCCTCCATGCCAAAACAATGTCATAAACTGCTGATTAGGATGAAAAAAAATGGATGAAATTTGACTAAGTCTATTGATTATCTTTTTTTTTTTTTTTTTCAATCTCTTAAAAAAAGAAAAAGAGCACTGGTTCTTTTATTAACAGAATGCCTGCAAATATAAATGGTAGTCTAGATAATATTTTAAAAGGTTTTCTGATTTCCTTACTGATTCTGTAGGACATGAAGTTACACACCCTGGATTCCAGCGTTTTGAAGTATGCTGGAAATTCTCCCTTTTACTTGTTGTAAAAGAAACACTCTGGGGAGTAAATATTTAACAAATCTTTGCATCTCAAATCCTTTTAAGAGCTGTTATTTTATTTCACATGGAACAAAAGAAAATCGATTTTGGCACAAATCTGATCCAGATGTCAGAGCCCAGAATGTATCCTGGCTTTCCAGATCAGAGCTTTTCTGACCCATTTTCTGCTGAGCTAAGGTGGTTACTTTGGCACACACTTCTCTTTCCCCATCAGTGAGGAGTAAAAATAAAGAAGGAAAATTGTAAATGTAACAGACACATAGGCATGAAAGAGTCTATGGCAAACTTTTTTTTTTTAAAGTGCCTGAACCTCTTTTTGTCCTTTCCTCCATCACGTGAAACTAGAGAACCTTGATTTTGTCACATCTTTGTTGTATCATTTTCAAATGCATCAGAGTACATCCCTTCTAATTACAAGATTTAGAATAAATGTATTCCTAAACAATTTTATCTTTCACTTATAGCAATTTGTGAGCAAAAATGTCTGTTTGGAAGCAGATGCATAAAACCAAATGTCTGTGCTTGCAGAAGTGGCTATACTGGGTCAGCATGTGAAAAGAAGGTAAGGTATCAGCCAAAAACACTGCATTCTTATAGCAAGAAGGACAAAAATAGCTGACTGTAACTGAAATAGTTTACAGGAAAAAGGATTAAAGTCTTAGTAAACTTATGGAAGATGTAAATAAGGCTATAGAATTGTTTAAAGTAAGTTTAATGACCACTAAGCTGCATCCAAGTCCTGTACAAAATTCTCCCTTAAGGAAAAGTTTAATCCTTCAAATACTAACCCTTAAAAAGCTGTATCCATTCTGATACTTAGGCTCATCTTTAATACAGTTCTCCTGCCCAAATCCACTAATCATCTACAGAGTATACCTTGAAGTGATGTCCCTGAATGCAGTCAAGCCCAAGCCTGGAACTTTCTCTGAATTGCAATTGACCCTCACCACCAGACACTGTTCAGTTCTTCATCCCTACTGCCTTTCTCAACCAGCCACTCGTTCCAACATGAAGTCGTTTGTCAATCTCCAGCTTTTAAAATGGCAGGCTGCCCTCCCCTCTCATTCACCTAGATGCAAAGGCTAGGAGAAAAAAAAAAAAATCAACATCTTTTCCTTTCAATTTCATCAGGCATTAGAGATAGCAGCAAAATCTATTCAGATAGTCATTTTATTCTGTAAACGATAATTAGATTTTAATATCATAATTAAAGTACTATATGGATTTTCTTAACAAGTACATTTTCTTACTAAATTATAGCTCCTACATCAATACTGATATGCATCTGATGTAGATGAGTCTGAGTAGATGACAAAGATCTATCAAACAGGTTGGCTGCGCAGTAGGAACATATGGCGTGCATTTTATCAATGATTTAATGGGAGAAGTCCAAACAAAGAAGAAGAAGAATCCAAGATAAAACAGAGTTGTTGTCTTCAGGTCTTAGTACCCAAAGGACTTTCCCTTCAGAGGTTGAGAGTTGCCATTTAGAAATGCCAGACCAAGATTACTGGGGATGTTTTGGAGCATTGTTTTAGTTGTGAAAGTATCGAGTGTGATATTTTCTATTCACAAACAAATTGGAACTTTGTTACACTTCACAGAAAATATTAAATCAAATATCAGGCTTCCTTTTTCACATGCATAAACTATTACACAGTAAATCACTACTGGAAAAAAAAAAAAAAAGAGTAGAAAAAAGACTTTGCATATTATGTATGTCCAGAATGCCAAGCCATCAATGATACATGTAAACTCGCAGCTCTCTAGAAATGATTCATCTCACATTTTTATAAGACTGTTTGAAGCACTCTTCAGTTTCACAGCTCATTCTGCAGAAATACTGATTGGCAGCACTGATATGAACGTGTATTGCTTTGATGTGAGGAAGGAAATGTTCTGAATAAAAGAGAATTAACAGGTTTCCTTCAATCTGTGAGCTTTGCTTAGTGCAAATGTCAAAGTTAGTCATAAAACTGATGGGTCCAAGGGTGTCTTGTTTAAATTACATGGCGATATGCAATCAAACAAGCTACCCCTCTAAAAACTTAAAAATTATAAGAGATGATAATGCTTATTAACTAGCACTGATTACAGTAAATAGTGAACATAGGAACTCATGTCCTTATTACTGCAGAAAAGCTGGCAGGACAGGCCTGCTAAGAGTTAATTTGTAAGTGAACAAATTGAACAAGCTTTTAAGGAATTTTACACAGTTAGATGTTGGAAGACAAATACAACCACCCCTCCCTGATTTTCTCTCGTTTTCCTCAACTTAAACCAATCAGGTGTCAAACCCATTTCTGCTGCTCGTTTTTAAATCTCTGCAATTTCTCCCCATTCTAGAAGCATTGCAGCTGAGGAACACCACTAACTGTCTCCCATTGGCTTCAAACTCTCTTGTCAATACATTTACAACAAGAGATTTACATTTTTCTGCTATAGCACTGTAGCCAGTTCAGTGCTCCACGCTGCTCCTACTTAATGGCTTATTTTCCATTTGGCAACCATGCAGTTGACTTTTCCTTTGTGAGCGCAGCGTTTATTATATCTTTATTTAATTTTGTTTCATGGATTTCCAGTTGTTTCACCCATGTGTCAAAAAAGATTTTTCATTCTAAACCTGATTGTATTGCCTCCAAATGTGATATCGTTCAAAAATGTGAAACATCTCATTGCCCAAGACATTAATGACAGTAACGAAGAGTAGAAAAAAGTCAAGGCCTATGGGTATCGATCTTGACAGCAAACTATTGACACAGTTACTCTTTGATAATGCTTCTCAGACAGGAATACCTTCTTTCTTATTTAGTCTGACCCACTGGCATGACTACCCCAACCATGTCAGAAGTCCCCCTAACCTAATTGTGGTGGCTAGAAAGGCTGCTTACCACATTTTGCTTGAGGAGATTATGAGTTTATTGTTTAATAATTTGCCTTAGTATCTTCCCAGATACCCACTTGGCTGTCATCACCTTGTTCTCCTTTTTCCTTTTTTTCCTTATTTAAAGATATATACTGTGTCTTTCAGGAGTACTCAAAGCTAATGACTGCTCATTTAGAAACCATATCTTTAGTAAGCTCGGGTAAACTCTGTGAAGCCCTATTAACCTGTTTCATGTTAAATTCCTCTATGCACTGAGATTTTCTGTATGAGGCGTTAAAGTAGCTAGCAAACCATAAATTCAAAATCTAGTTTACTGCCCAGCAATTTCATCTTGTAAACTGACCTTCAATCTGACTTATCTGATCCTAACTATTCAGTTCCTTCCCTGCCCTCCCTTGAATTCCTGTTCTCTTACTAATTCTGAACATGCTAAACCTTTTGTCACATTTAACCTTTCGGTGAAGATGGAATATAAGGCACGGAACACATTAGCCTTGCCTGTGTCATCACCAGTCCTCTCATGTTAGATTCACCTCTATGTTTTGCTATGGGAGTTAAAATTCTTGTTTTGCTCTGTTTCTGTAACGAATCTTCAAATAGTAGGGTAAATACAGTAGAAGTGGCTTGTAACATTTATTTAAAAAATGGCTTAAATTGGAGTTGAGCAGCCTCTTTCCTTCCCTCAGCAGCAGCTGCCTAGGGATGCTCAGGCGACTCGTACCTGCAGCTAACTCAATCTCACCAACCTCCTTTTCCCAGGGAAGGAGATGCAAGGTAATTGCCCCTTATCCAGTTTAGAAGAGCAATTTCTTCCTTTGAACTTTATTTCTGGTCTTCAACTTAGTCTCACAACAGTAGAGTGAAAGATTCATTTTAGCAGTATATTTTTCAGAGGATAGGCTGAACACACTATGAAGATAGATACAGGGAGCTGGAAATAAAAAGCTTTGCTGCAGAACTCTTTTTTTTTCCTCAGACTAAAGAGTGTCTATAGGCTGGTTTAGCTAGTCGTTTTGGAAAAGCAGTGCTGCCCATATTCGTTTAATAAAGTTATTCCCCTTTCTCTGCTGTAATCTTTGATATAGTTCCCTTCTGTGCAGTTAAAACTCCTGGAGGAGCAATATACATTTTCCCAAATTATTCATCATCTACCTCCTAGTTCTCACATCTATATTGCCAAGTGATTTGCAATTCATTTCCTGACATTTTTGGTTTACTTTGTTTTGGAGTTCTGCTAAACAAAGCCTGCCAAACGCATTCCTCAGAAGGCTAATGAACTTGCTACAATAGCAATCACTCTCTTAGAAACCTTTTGCGTATTTTTAATTTGTATTGACTCTCTGAGAGATGCAGATAATTTAGCAAGAAGTTTTGCGGCAGACGTGAAGACAAATGTTCCTACTGACTTTTACATTCAAAACACTCATCAGAGTCCATTTGTTCATGGTTGGAAGAGGTGACTCCCAAAGAAAGCCCCAAACTAAATGGTTCTCTTCTCCAGCAGAACCACATTTACCAAAAACTTTGCCATGAGTCCCAAAGAGACCAGGATAACTACTTTGTCAAATGTACAGCAGGGAGCTTTTCTGAAAGTTGAAAGGTATATTGTAGCTGTTGTCTTATCTAATGCAATCATGCTTCTTAGGTTGTTTGTTTTTTCTTTCTAAATGGATTAAAGTAACAGCATTAATTAAACCAACAGAATTAATTTAAGCCAAACAATATCTAGTTAGATATGAACGCATGGAAAGCTATCATGATGCTGCCTTACTTCAAAAACAGTTTAAATATTAATGCACTAGATTGGTCTGTCTCTTGAATCTGTATTCTAAAGCATAAAGACAGTGAGGAGTCCAACTGATTTCAGAAAATAGTAATTGAAAAATACAAACATCATAGCTGACAATTTTAACACAGGAATTTGCCAGTAAACCAAACAGCAACAAGCCATTCACATTCCATATGAATGAATTCAGGGATGATCTTCCAAAGATTAAACATACTACTGATTTTCTGTAGCATCTAAAAATGCACTTTGCTACAGCCAGTGGCTTTAACATTGCTATTGCTTTCTTCTTGTATATATCAGTTGACACATGCATTATTTTCTGCAAGAGTGGTCAAACACTGGAATGGGCTACCCAGGGAGGTAGTTGAATCAACAACCTTGGAGGCATTCAAGAAACGTGTAGATGTGGTACTAAGGGACATGGTGTAGTGGGCAGCATTGGTGATAGGTGGATGGTTGGACTACATGATCTTTAAATTCTTTTCCAACCTTCATGATTCTACAATTCTATGATCAAGAGACATTAAACTACAGATCATCACGCTCAAGTTACACAAGCTGTGTTCAGCATCTGTAAATACACACACTATTGACCTATGGAGTTCTAGGGGAAAATGGCTTGCCTAAATTATATTACAAAAACATGGAAGTAATAAGAAATAAAAAGGATAGTCAAATAAAAGTAGAATGGAGCTACACATGCTGTGCATATTAGTCAGACAATTTGCTTACTACAAAGGAATGCAATTAATTAATTAGTTAATTGAGCTTAAATTTGATGGCTTCCTCATCAAAACACTGAATATTTTCAACACATATACTGGTTTGTGCATGCTCAGGCATCCTGAATCATTTTCATGTTTTTACCAAGAAGGACCGGGCTTTTGCACCATTTTATGTTTCATTCATATATATATTTGTGTAGTGTAAATATACACACACATTTACACACACAAATATATATACATCCAAAATCCAAATATGTGTTTTAGTATAATTGTGTATATAGACATATGGAAATGTGTACTATGAGCCAGACGTGCAAGCATACATTTTTATTTGACCTGAAAAAAATACATATTACTCTTTCTGATATTACATGCAGATTTTCTACATAAAATGAATCCTTACTTTAACCAGACCTGCTAAATCCCAGCAGGCACTTGTAGAAGTACCCTCTCTTTTCCTATAAAGTAAATGTACCATGTACTATTTGCAAATAAACAACTGCTACCTCTATATATCACTATCAAAAACTAAGGTAAGGTATTTTAGAGTCAGCAAGGAAAGGAGCACTTGGATACATAATGTTAATATCAAGGATAAGCTGTCATATCAAATACAGATATATCAAGATTAAGAAGGACCTTTCTTCTAGCCCTGAATAATAAATTAATACCAACATTTTTATGTGCTTTCTAATACAGCTTTCTATAAAACCGCCTTTGAAAACAGGTTCTTAAATCTATGTGCTAGCATAAAATAAAGCTTTCCATATCATCGATTATCTTGTTTTGGGATAAAGCAAATTCACTCATGTATTTAAACCAGGATGATATTCATGGACAACTTCTGCTATATGAAAATGGGATAAGTGCACTGAAATGCTTTCAGAAGCCAACAACCTCCATGCGTTACACAGAAGTGGCAGAGATTTTTTTTTTTTTAAAGCACACCTGCTTTAGATGAAAGAAATTGAATTCCAACTCCATAACTGTCAAGCGCCACTGCAAATAATAGAGCCTAAGCCAAATCATTTCAGCAATATAGCTATTTTCCTGTTGAAGCGATGGAGCAGAAATCAGCCTTAGCTAGATGATATCACTTTATGTGCATGCTTTGGAAACAGTTCCATTCATCACTCCACTGCTTAGTCCCTTTCAAAAACATGTTCTTCATTCCCGGGTTAATAAAAATCTTTGGTTATGTAAGTCAAAACTGTGAAAAAATGCAGCTTGTGATTTGCCCATAATTATGTTGAAAATCAAAAGAAAAAAGAGTAGCAACAATAAATCATTTGAACATCACACGTGATATTTCTTGCACCGCATGCATAAGAACATTTATTCTGTAGCCCCATAAGAGGCTGAATATACATTTCCTTTTTTTTGCAGCTACCCACAGGATGAAGATAACATAACAGCAGGACAATGAAGACAATCATTTGGGTATCGATAAGCCCAAACTGAGTTCGTTTTTCATTTGGGAAGACACAGTGTGAAGACATCACTACTTCTCTCCCTTCTACTCTCCTATAATCACAAAGAAAAACTAAAACAAAACACCAAGGCATATGTCAATAAACAGACCTCTATTTTCAAAACTGCCTGTGGCCAGACTCACATTCCTGATCTGCAAATGTAACATCATCACAGTGAAGACCCCTGCCCACTAAAAAGACAAAGTCTTTTAGTTTCCTGTTACTCTGCTTTCACTAAAACCTGAAGGCACATATAAATGTCTTCATTTCTGCCAGTTTTTGGTGTTAGTTTTTTTTGGTGGTTTTTGTTGCTGTTTTTTTTAAACAGGCTTGTTTTCTCCAGAGAAAATAACTACATAAGATCCCACTTCAACTGACAAATTTCAGAGACTACCACGGGAAGGATCTCAATAATATTTATTGATACTAGCTCCAGTCTGTAGTGTCATTCCACTGAGTAACTGCTAGAGCCAAATGTTTTCTAGGTTGCCAATGTGCCAGCACTTACTTAAGGAGGTATCAACACAATGCATGATGAGATGCTGGCTTTTGGTTGCACCTACATACAGGTTCTCTTTTGCCCTCAGTCATAGCTGTATGTTGCTCCTATGCAAGTCAGTGGTTGACATACTAAGGATTCGAGATTCCACATAGCCATCCCACCTTAATCCCTGGGATCAGTTCAGAAAACTAGCTTTTTAATGGTACAAAAAAAAATCAGATCTATAGAATGCTACCTCTGAGTGCTTCATCACACAGCATGGTTTTGACATAGGATGGGATGGAACAGTGGCACAAAACCCAGAAGAGAGATGGAAGGTGTGAAAAGAAGGTAATAAAGAATTAATTACAAATGTACTTGAAAAGCATTTTAAACTGTCACCTCATACATCTTTCAGGTTCAGTAAGGTAAATCCCAAATCATCTTCTGGGCATTCGTGCTCTCTTTTTATTTGTCTGGGTGATTCAGAGCAACTGTAGATCAAACCATCTGTGTCTTGATGCAGGAATAGAGAAGTTCTGACATTCCCTCACTCTTCCAAAAGAAATTTGAAGGGAACGATCATACAGTAAGGATCTTTTGATTGAACCTTCAGGGTTGGAACAGCAAGTAGTTGTAAGGTTTGATCTGACCCTTGCTGTCAACTTCTAAGAATAAAAATACCAACTGAAAGACCTCAGAATACTGCAAATTAAGCTATGAAAAAGCTAGGAAAAACTACCAGTACTTTAACTGACAGAATCATTCCTCCTCCCTTTTGCCCAGCTCATAATAGTAGCTTTTTTTTTTTTATCCATGGCTAACTTTGTATATAGCAAAATGCTTTTATATGCATCCATTCTGTTTTCCAATAAATGGTTTTCTGTTCTTCATTTCTGAAGTTCTGCCTTTCATTTTATCTTAGAAACAGATCCAGTGTATATAGTTTCCCAATGCAAAAACTAAAAATATAAATTAGACTTGACACTTCCTGCAAGTTTCTTATTAAACAAACATTAAGTTGAAGGACCAGTCTTCCAAAACATGTGCTATATTTTCCTTAAGTAAAAAAAAAAAAGAAAATAAAAATAACAATAACGGAATCACAGAACTGTTCAAGTTTGAAGGGACCCTTTAAAGGCCATTTGGTCCAACTTCCCTGCAGTGAACAGGGACACCCACAGTTCCATCAGGTGCTCACATCCCCATTCAGCCTGGCCTTGAGTGCCTCCAGGTATGAGACATCCAACACCTCTCCATGCAGCCTCACCACTCTTAATGCACAAAACATCTTCCTTAAGTTCAGTCTAAATCTCCCCTCTTTTAGTTTGAAACCATCTCCCCTTGTTCTGTTGAAACAGACTCTGACAAAGAGTCTGTCCCTTTCTTTCTTATAGGCTCCTTTTAGAAACTGAAAATCTGAGCTTCATACTGATCTAGAACACAATTAGTAATGCTAATGTGAATTTAAGTTTTTTTGCATTCGCATTAGCAGTTCCAGGAAGACATAAATACTAAAACAGAACATTGGCACCAGATAAGTATCTACAAATTAAATTGAGGGTGGCAATTACTGTTTTCTTGAAGTACAGCCCCAATCGATAAAAAAAGATTTCTATTACCTTGCCTCCATAATGTCTACAAGAGACAGTGCTAATGAACAAAATCCCTTGCCAAGATTGGATTTGAAAGCCTAAAACAGCTTTCAATGCCTTGCAGCCTCTTACTGTATTTTGAGGAGTGAGTGTTTAGGACAAGATACATCCCACCTATTTTAAGAAAATTTGAAAGTCCTTCTACATCCTTGAGGACAGTTTGTGTGTGCTTTCAAATCCAGAAGAATTGTTGATAGAGGACAACACCAAGGTTACTCCCTGACATCAGACTACAGGTAACCTACAGGTATGCAATCATGTGATGTCACAGATCACATCTGTGAAACTCCCCTTTCCTAATGATGAATTTCAACACTCCTTTTCTCTTAGCCACTCCTGTGCTGTTTTCTTCTCTTGTCAGTTCACTATGCTTTGCTAAATTTCCAGGTACAGTGATGACTACACCCTCAGTTTCTGTATTGAACATGACACAGAACAACTTGAAAGCAGAATTATTGTGTAGAATTTTATAGGTGTTTTGCACCTTATTGAGAAATACTCAAGCAGAATATTTTTCAAAATGTTCTTGTACATTCATATGCCATTCCTCTTATTGTTTTATGTCCAAAAGTTCAGCAAAGAGTTTAAGGCAGCAGTCTTACTAATTGCACTCTACTAATAAGAGGAAACATATCTGCCTAGAAACTAAAAGCAATGTTATTTACTTTTAGCTTCTAATTATCACTGTGACTTCTCGTAGTCTTTGTTTGCTGAACATTTATTTCCAAATCCTGATAAACCCTCAAAAAAATTGAGTACAATAAATCACACTCACTTGCAATAGTAGAAGTGGGAGGTGTTGGGGGTTGGTTTTAGGTTGTTGGGGGGTATTTTGCTTAATGTCATCATTTTTAAGAGCACAGTTACTGGTAGATTTAACTTATCTGTGATATTCATATAGATGTTTAAACATTAAGGTCCTGGTTATGGTCTTTTTGAATTTTCATTGATTTTGCATGGTTTTCAAAACAGAAGTTGAGGCTAATATTTCTCCTGCCTAGAGAGCAGGAGAGCACAGCGAGCAGGAAGAAGTTAATTTTTGTACGTGGTCTATCTTTACTAACCTTTGCCAAAAAGACTGGGGGAGGGGCTGTATGCATCATTGCACATATGTGTGTATGCACATATATGTCCATCTCTGAAATACACTAGCTGAAAGCCTCTGAGAATTCTTTACGAAGCAAAGAAAACCATTTCAATGGAAAAAGTATCCATACCGGCTGGCATTTCAGCTGGATAAATATTATATCCTTCTCACTGAGTAGCTTTTCATTTTCCTTCTCTCATTAGGAAGCAAAGCTGAAAGAAGTGAATCTACTCCCTGCAGGACAGTAGGTGGATACTGCATCTTATTTCCTTTTAGAATGAGTTTTGCTCCAGAAATGTACCACTTTCCAGGGGCTTGCAGATGTAACTCCTTGGTTTGTCCATAAACAAGTACAGCAGCAGTGGCTAAGCAACAGGAGCCATTAATCCTGTCCTAGAGAGACCACCCAGAGCAGGGGGAAGCATGCTCTGGTCTCTATGTGTATTTAATGCTTCACCTTCCTGCCAGAAAACCCTGTTCCACATGGATCACTGAAAAAAACAGCAGATGATGGATTGAAATGAGTACATTTTTGGACTCAATTCAAGCCCATGACATATTGAGAGGGTCTGCCAACTCATATATCATGTCCCAGATGAAATAGACTTTACAATACTCCACATACATAAATAAACACACATAGAATGATTCTGAAAATTATTTTCACTTTAAATTATTTAACTACAAAAGCTGTAGAGCATGATATGCTCTGTGGGCTTAATACAACATCTTCATGCTCAATTAATTTTTTCACATTAATATCATTTGGAGAACGAGTAGACAAATGAGAATGTGTGTGGTGTGCATAACAATATGCACCACTAAGATCACTGTTGTTACTTCTGCAGGGTAATTCATACTCAGAAGCTCCAAGGATGACCTGTCACATTCAAAATTAATGTTTATTATTAAGAACAAGCTTTCATTGCCATAGCATGGGAAAACCAAATCATTGGATCTGGTCCTTGGGCACTGGTGGTGAAGGCTGAGAATGAGAAGTAGGTCTTAAAGGATGCAAACATCACTCTTGTTTCCATATTTCTAACAGCTGAGGTCTGGGAGACTTGACAACTTAGGCAAGCTTCCCCTGGAGAGAGGAAAGTGTGGTATGGGTTCTGTGTATGATTTATTTAAACAAACTGAAGTCCATGCTTTGACCAGATGCGGGTGGGTGGCCATCAAAAGACAAAAAGCAGAATACTCACCAGACAAATTCTCTGCCAGAACCAGATAGAACTTTTCTATTATCTTAATTTCATCCAAAATATTTGCACTAAGCTTGCTCAACAACTAACCCTTCTGTCACGATAGCGTTCCCAATGGGACCAGTCGGTTTTCCAACTGATCTCCCTGATGCCTGGTTAAGGTTTCTTTTCCTGCATAAAGGTTATTTCAGTTTCAACATGCAACTTGATGGCACTTCTACTGTTGCAAGGAGATAGGAATTCCAGACATGAAAAGCTTACTGAGAGAATATCAGCACTTTTAATCAGCTAGCCTAAGAGAGGAAGAAGGATACACTTCAGCACTGCACTTCTCTCTTCGCTTTTTTCCTTTTTTTCTTCCCCAAAGATTTTGGCATGCATTACCACGATTGATTTAGAAGACTACTGGTTCTATCATGATCTGGGACAGGTATCAGAGAGATCTGTCCTACTGTGCTAGTAAAACTACACTACCACATTCAAAAGCTACATGCCTTTCC